AAGTAGGGATGGGCAGTTCTGAAATTTTCTTAAGTGCTACTTATATAGCAAAGGCATTGGTCCTGGTTTGTGGCACAAACCGGGACTAATGCACCCCTTTAGTCCTGGTTGGAGCCACCAACCGGGACCAAAGGCCTCTTTTCAGCAGCCCAAAGGGCGGGAAGCAGAGGGCTTTGGTCCCGGTTGGAGGCACCAACCGGGACTAAAGGGGGGGCATTGGTACTGGTTGGTGCCACGAACCGGTACCAATGCACCACTTTAGTCCCGGTTGGTGCCATCAACCGGGACTAAAGGCCCTATGCTGCCCGCGTTGCGGCACGAAAGTTTAGTCCCACCTCGCTAGCTGAGGGAGCTCGAGAGTGGTTTATAAGCCCGAGTCCCGTTGCCCTCTCGAGCTCCTCTCAAATGCAGGCTTACGGGCCTAAACGCACTATATGTGCCTGTGGGCCTATTGGGCCTATTGCGGTCCTGAATCCTGGCCCATTGTTGGGTTTCTAGTCGTATTCAGGCCGTGGTAGCCCTTTAGGTGGCACTTTTTATTTTATTTATTTTATTTTTTGCTTTGAATTATTTATTTTCTTTTGATTTTTTCTTTTTTATTTTATTTTACTTTTCTTTTAGCTCAGATTAATTATAATCTTTCTGTTACTCCATTAGTTTCCAAATTTGAAGAATTAGTTTCCACCAACCGGTACCAATGCATCCGTCTAATTACTTATTTATTTTCTTTTATGATAATTCTTTTTGTTTTTAATGTTTTGAACAGAATTCTAATTACCTATTTATTTTCTTTTATGATAATTCTTTTTGCTATTAAAGTTTGTAACAAAATTCTAATTATTTATTTATTTTCTTTTATGATAATTCTTTTTGCTTTTAATGTTTTGAACAAAATTCTAATTACTTATTTATTTTCTTTTATGATAATTCTTTTTGCTTTTAATGTTTTGAACAGAATTCTAATTACTTATTTATTTTCTTTTATGATAATTCTTTTTGCTATTAAAGTTTGTAACAAAATTCTATATAATTTTAGTTTCAATAATACTAGAGGTTTATAAAAGCTTTTTAGTTGATTCCTTCAGTACCAGTGCTAAGGCTATTACAAAGGCATTTTATTTGGTACAGGTTTTAAGGTTGGTGCCCCACGAGCACCTTTTAGTACCGGTTCGTGGCATGAACCGGTAAAATAGTTTTTTAGTTGATTCTTTCTGCAGCTGTTTTTTAGTCCCATCTCGCCAAGCGAGAGACACTCGCAGCGGTTTATAAGCCCCGAGTGCAGAGACGATGCAGAAGAGGCTCAATGCTAACCTGCACGTTGCTTAGCTTTAAGCCTTGAGGAATAGGGTAGACTGCACGGAGCTATGTGCAGTGCAGTTTACACTATTCCGAAAGTCTTGAAGCTAATTAACGAGCATTGCACCTCTTTTTTATTTTTAATGACTTATTACAACTCAGAAATAAATGGAAAAAAATAAATATAGCAGAAAAGAAAAAAAACTATATAAAAACTACTCAGAAATAAATAGAAGAAAAAATATTTGTGATTAACTTTACTAAAAAAATGAGCATAGATGCGCTTATAGAGAGAATTCAATCTAAATACATAATAAAATTTCTACTAACTTGAGAGAAATTCAATATGAATTTAGGTCAAATTCCCTATATAAGGGCATCTATTTTCACTTTGAGAGGAGCCCAACAAGGCAGAGAGGAAGGGCCTTATAAACGGGTGTGAGCGCCCTTCGGTTGGCGAGGTGGGACTAAACTCTGACCGCAACGAGGACCAACCCTTTAGTTCCGGTTGGTGGCACGAACCGGGACTAATGGGCTGTCTTTGGTCCCGGTTCAAGCCGCCAACCGGGACCAATGGTGGTGGGCCAGGAGCGAGGCCCATTGGTTCAGGTTCGTCCCACCAACCGGGACCAAAAGGTCCAGACGAACCGGCACCAATGGCCCACGTGGCCCGGCCGGCCCCCGGGACTCACGAACCGGGTCCAATGCCACCATTGGTCCCGGTTCTGGACTGAACCGGGGCTAATGGGCTGACCCGGCCTGGACCATTGCCCCTTTTTCTACTAGTGTTATTTTTCTCTCCACTCTTTATTACAACCAGAACTTTCCTAACGTATAACAAATCACGGATCTAACTTCCTTAAATTATGCAAATCAATCGATTCCGTTTATAGGTTCAATTTGTCTTAGGAAACAAATAACAGATTTTCAGGAAACAAATAATATATTTTAATCTAACTTTCTTAAATTATGCAAATCAATCGATTCCTTTTATTTGTTCAACTTGTCTTAGGAAACAAATAATAGATTTTCAGGAAACAAATAATACATTTTAATCTAACTTTCCTAACTTATCTAAATCAATCGATTTCTCTTATTAGTTAAATTTGTTTTACGAAACAAATAACAGACATGTCACAACTTTCCTCCCAATAAATAGTTTCTTAACATTTGCAAACTTTCTTAATCATACATGTCACAAACGGGCAGGTACTGATATCACGTTACCAAACAATAAAACTCCGTTTGCATAGAAATCAGTTCAAAAATCCTAATTTTCCTAAATTTTTACCTTTCCTTGATAACAACCAATATTTCCTATATTTTCCACCTATCGAAAGAAATCACCCCTCCATCGATATTAGTATTTTTTTGAACTGAGATCTCCGGGTTATGATTTTTTTTTGCGATTCTTTCCAATTGTGACCTCTCCTTCCACTCCGGCTCCTTCTCGCATAAACACCTCCACCACAGCCAGGTGACACCGCCCCAGACCTCCTGCCTCCTCACACCTTCTTCGCCACCTCCTTCTCGTACTCCATTAACAATCCCTCCGCCACATTTGTCCACGGCGGTGTCGAGGGCATGGCGCAGTAGCGTACCAGTGGTAGAGCAGCGCATAGCAGCAGGAAGCAACACGCAGCAGGCGAGGCGAGCGGCCGATGGTGGAGGGCAGAGATGCGGCCGGCATGGGTGAGGGGGCGGCCGGCAGAAGATGGCCATGACTGGAGGCGACGCGAGGCAGGGGCGCGACAGCGGGGCGAGCTAGGATAGGCGGCAGCAGACGGGGCGAGTGCAGCCAGCGAGAGTGTGGCACGCGGCCAGGGTGTGTGTCACGCGGGGGCACAATGGTGCGGTGGCTGCGGCGAGCGCGACGGCAGCGGCGGGCGCGGCCGACGCGGTGTAGCACGGGCGTGGGCATGGAGAGGCAGTGGCCCCGCGGGAGCGAAAGAAGAGCGGCATGTTCGGGCATGGGCATGCATAGGAGCGGGCATGTGCCACGGGGTCAATCCGAGGAGCTCGATGGCTACCCCTGCAATGGCCATGGCGGACGGCGATTCTCGGCCACGGTGAAATACCTAACGAGAGCAAACGAGAGGGGAAACATGGGAAAGGCAAGAGTAGATCATGGCGGTGTCAATGGCGTCCTAGGGGAAGACATGGGAGCTCGGGGCGGCGCGGATCGAACAACAATGTCGTGGTGGCCCAAGGTTGAGGAAGACGGCAGCGACGTCGATGCGAGGGTGCTGGACTTGATCTCGTTGGCGCAGACGAAGTAGCGAAGGCGTTCGGAGCTGCTCGATAAGCTCCTAGCCCGCAGGAAGGGCAGTGGCCATGTGGATGGGGTCGGTCATGGCGGCCGTGGCGTCTGACTTCGTCCAGATCGACGGGATCGAGCGAGCGAGGAGGAGAAGTAGATTTGCAAGGGGACGTCGAGGAGGAGTGAGGCCATGGGGGCAGGGAAGGAAGGGCGTCACCCTTATCCATTCCCCTTCGATGCCAGCGAGGTGGTCGGGCGGGAGCCCGGCTCTGTAGCGACCCCCTTTTACATCGTCCATTTGGTTTTTCAATGTATTCTAATCAATTTCTCCTTTTTAACACCACTTTCTATTTATTCTTATCAACTAAATGATCTCTACTCCTAATGTCTAAGTTGACGAAACGACTCTTTCACGGCCGCGCGTTGCAGCGTGCGATCTCTACACGCGAAGCCCACACATGGAAACAGCCTGTTTGTGTCGGACATGGGAGAGTAAAAAAGATCGTCAATGTCACTTTTTTTTTAGGGAATCGTCAATGTCACTTAATATGTAAATAATTGATATTGAACTTTTAAAGTTAATATGGCCCCGTTACAACGCACGGGCGTTCTTCTAGTTGCAATAAGGATCAACATTATAAACATATGTGACAAAGTTTCATAAGCGGTATGGGACTAAACCTAACAGACCAGGGACAAAAAATTCAGAAGCACCGCTAGACCCTAGTAGTCGTGTTGGGTGGGTCAGCCTGGCAAGCACGCTGGGCTTTAGCCCAATAACAAGATAGCCATGCCATTGCTTCCGATGCCGCCTTTGGGTCTGCTATATGATGATATCTACCGTGCTGCGTTCCTGGCCGTAAGCACGCGATGGATTAGCAGAGAATATGGATTGCAGATGGTTGACCAGCTGCCTTGGGCAAGCACGCGACGCGCAGCATGGCGGTGAGCGAGGTGCTCTTCTTCCTGGGGTCCAGACTTCCAGTCCCGAGCCGCAACATATGCCGACGAGATCGCGAATGGAGAGGAACGTGTTGATGCTATCGCACTTGCAGTTTTGCAATCAGTTTCAGTTTTTTTTCTTGAGAAAAAAGTGCACAGAATGATTTTCATGGTGAATCGATACCGAGTGATCAGTTTTGATGTACTGTAGTATGTTGTGCAAAGTTCATACACCAGTATCACTACTGACCAGTATGATTTCGAGTGTATGTACATATACGCTACAAGCTTTGATTGACAACTCCCACGAAACAAAATCACTAGACTGAAGAAGAAGAAGCTACTGCTGAATACACTTTGACCAAGTGAGACTGAAGAAAACAAAAACAAATTTCTCTTGACAGGCAGGGATCACCGGAGCGCGGCCCTCCTCCGGCTGAACCGGCGGGCGGTGGCGAGCAGGCCGACCCCGACGCACACCGCCCAGGCGCCCATCTCCAGCGCCCACCGCATCGTCTCGGCCTCCAACTCCTCCTCCTTCAGCTTGTCGCCGTCGTCATCATCGCTGCTGCTGTCTCCGACCATCTGCCACTCGTCCCCACAAGCCCCGCACTCGCACGACCCCCAGGAGGACGCATCCTCCTCCGGTATCCCCTCGAGCGGCGTCGCGCACCCGATCCGCCTCGCCGCCCTGGCCCTGGCCCTTATGAGCACGCCGCCCTCCGCGAGGACCAGCACCTCCGCCACCCGCGAGCGCGACCCGGCCGGCCGGCGGCACTCGACGCGCCACCCTCCTCCGTCGAGGCGCCGCCGCGGGAAAAAGGCGCCCTCCGCCGCGAGCTCCTTCCCGGCGTACACCTCGAAGCGCGCGCCCTCGGCGGCCGAGACGCGATCGGCGCTCGCGTACGCCGGCGCGTCGTCCGCGCCGCGGACGAGCAGGAGGGTGGCCTCGGCGGGGCACGCCGGCGGGAGCGCGCGGCTGGCAAGCTCCAGTGCGGAGCCGCCGATGGCCGGGCGGTAGACGAGCGTGAGCTCCGCGGGCGGCGGCGACGTGGATGAGTAGGAGGAAGAGAGGCGGAGGTAGAAGGCGCGCACATCGAGCCGCCGGGGCCCGAGCGGGCGGAGGTCGTCCACCATCCCTCTGCACATTGCCGGTGAGCGGTCTAGTAGGTAGGATGTGATTCCGTTGCTAGGTTTTCGCTTTGGCCTTCCTTGTGGCGCTGCTGTATGCGATGCGAGTATGGTACGGTGATGATCTGTGGCCTTGTCTGGTAGAGTAGATAAAAGCGCGGGGGAGAAGGAGACCGAGCGGGTGTATGGATCGGTGGGCGCGGGAGCTCGTGGTTTTGGGCGTGGCGTCCGTCAATGGAAACAGCAGAGCACACGGTTTGTTTGATCTGGTCTCGTCTGGTCTGGTTTGGTTGGTGCCGAGCGAGCTGTGGGCGACCGGGTACCTCAACTCACATCCCTGTCCCTGTCCGTCCGCCTGATAGATATTTCTTCTTGCTTTGTCCTCTTGCTCCGTCATTCTACTTGGTGGGAGCACACGGTTTGGGCTTGGGTTGGCAATGGCGCGGCATGCATGCATGCCACCTGCGCCGGAAACCACCATTACAACTGGACTGGCCTGGAGTCGCGACAACGAGGGATTTTGCTTTGCTTCGCAGCTGGCCTTTTTTTTAACACTGCCAAGTCTGTTGTCTTTGTCAGCCTACGAATCGGAAGACCAAAATTATCGCCTTGACTGCCCTCGAGGAAATGGAAATCGATGGATTCCATGGAGAGGACCATGAATGTGATTTCGTGGAATTGCTATTCGTGTCCGCGCCAATGCTTACAAGTGTGACGGTGAAGCTATCACAGGAGCTCTCCTCAAGTAGTGATGGATGCACAAAACTATACAACATCTTCAAGGTATATCCGTTTGTGGAATGTTGTGCTTATCTTAGCACTGGTGAGCTTGTGCCGTTCATGGATGACTAGCATTTGCCAAATGCAACAAGAATATGTCAGTTCTTGTAAGTTTCATTGAAATCTTGAGTCAAGCCATTTATGCTTTCATGCTATGAGTTATCTCCAAAAATGTGGTGGAAATGTGGCATTGACATGCCAATTACAAATTAAGGTTGAACATATGTATCCGGGTTATTAGTTAAATGTGCTATATTACCGTCGAATTTGTTAGTAAACATGATATCATTAAAAAATGTAAGTTGGGTAGGGGAGCGGGTAATAATTTTGTATCACAAGATTACGCTGATTTCTAGGATTATATTTTTGTTTTATATTTTAAAGAAGGCACTCCAAAGGGCATCTTTTATTTGATAATTATAAAGTAAAACAGTAATTGGCAGAGAGGAAAGACAACCTGACACAAAATGACTAGAAACACAATTACATAAAAAATCATTTTGTGTTCATTTTCTTCCTTTGATTGTACTCTGCCCAAATTTACTCAATCACTTCTGAATGAACATGTCCAACCATTGATTTCTGCTCGTTAAACTATCACAACCAGCTCATTAAGCTCGTTTGTACAATACAACACAAATTCTTATCTTAAGCGACAAATATTTTTGTGGCACCAAAAAGCATCTATTCAATCTAATCAACCCAACCCAGCCCATAGGAGGCAATAAACTAGCGCACCTCCTCCTGTAGTCACCACCTTCCTTCGAAAAATCACGCGCACAATCTCATCCCTTAGGTAGTAAAGACATCGTAGTCTGTTAATGAGCACTCATAAACATAATATGCTTAATTAATGAGCCAAGTCTTAACAAGCCGAGAAGCTCATTAATACATCCCTAATTCTATCGTCCGACTAGTCATGTAACCAATAGAACAGCGAAGGAAGTGAAACCACCGTCTTGCTCAATTCGCTCGATGCGTGTCACAAAAAAATGGAAAGCTAAGGCGAACAGGTATTAACTCACGGATGCTCTCCCGGCTCGCCCCGATCGTCCTTCCCACATACAGCAGTAGGAAATAGGGTACTAGTCCTGGTGACAGAGGACCTTTAGTCCCGGTTCTGCAACCTGGACAAAACGATCGGAACTAATACCCATTACTTTTAGTCCCGGTTGGCTTATGAACCGGGACTAAAGCAGCTCTACGTGGCCGCTGTGGGGCGTCCAGGTAGGAGGACCTTTAGTTCCGGTTGGTAACACTGACCGGGACTAGAAGGCAGCCACGCGTCAACGGCTCCCAGGCGCTGGGTTTTTTTTTGAAGGGGGGCTGGGTTTTGGAGGGTTTATTAGTGGTTTCATATTGTGTTATCTAGCTACTATATATAGAGAGAAGTGACCTTTCTTTCTTCGTGATTGGTCGACGCTAGCTACTACATATAGAGAGAACTCGATGCTAGCTAGTAACCAAATGAAGAAACCATTAATTACACAACATCGTCATGAACATATACAGAAAGAAGCGACCTCTCTTTCTCCGTGCTTGGTCGAACAACAAGTTTTCATATATCTATCCAAAGCTACTACATATATACAATATAACATCTCTTACGATCCCTAACATCATCTACCGAAAATCCATTTGAATTTTTGTATGGTATTCTCCGTCTTTAGGTATGACGTGGTCAAGAAAGAATCCCGCCAATTCCTCTTGAATTGCTCGTATGCAATCATGTGGTAAGAGTTCATCCCGCATCTGCCAGATATAATTTAAAGAAGGGGGTCAATACATATATATGAATGAAAGTCAACACAAATTATGGTAATAAAAAGGAATTGTGATTATTATTGTTTACGTACTTGATATTGTTTTTCAGAGTAGCCCCGCTGAGAGGTCGCGTTGTAGATGAACTCGCAAACATAGTATCCACAAAAATCATTCCCAGCTTCCTGCCACAAGCACTTTACGAGAAATAGAGTTCAATCAAACAGATAATCAAGCGTGATAAATGGTATTGATGAAACTAGAATCAATGGAAGATGCGCGGAACTAGCTAGCTAGTAGTACTTACTTTCTGGTGTGTAAATCGCAGCTCCCTCGGCAGTCCCGGAACAATTCCGATGAACTCTTTCCAAACCCTGCCAGAGAAAAAAATTACTTGATATCACGAAATGAACAAAGTTGCCGATATGGTACGATAATGATCGATTGAACTTACTTCTGGAGCATTTCGGTCATGTCCGCATACTCCTGGGGATCTTTTCGTCTCAAGTCTAAAACAATTACTACTCCCTTGTCATGCTTAATCTCTAGCAGAATAAAGTGGAACCTGCCCACGCATGTATAACTCATCAATTATATTACTATAACCTCAAGTAAGGGAAACCGAATATGCACAAGACATTAACACTCACTTGAAGTTGTAAGGAAAGAGTATTTTTCTCTTTGTTTAATTTTTAAGCAACCATTGTAGCAAGTTGTCCTCGGTATCTGTGACTCTATTTTTTAACCGTCCATTCATGTATGATATTTGGGTTAATGAACCCAATGTCATAGATTTGTGCTTTCCTGCATTCGACGATCTTCAATCCACAAAATACAGTGAGAATAATTATATATACATGCAATGAAAGAGCTGAGCTATATATAGAGACTTAATTACAGAAGTAGTACTTACAGACAGTAGCAAGTCACGAGTTGTTTGTCAAGGGCCAATTGATTGTATAACTGGAATAACTCTACAAATTCAACCGGCAACAGCTCAGTTCCAATGAGGTCGTGCTCCTCTTTAATTCTCAGCATCAAACTATCCTTCCTAGACTCGATGCAGGTTTTCATGTACCATTCATGCAATCTTTGCATCATCGTTGTTAGAAGAGGATGATCAGGTTTGACGAGAGGCTGCCCATACTGTTATCTGAATTCGTCCACCTCCATTATTTCAAACTCTACATCATTGCTTAGGTAATCAGCAGGGTTGGTACCGGGCAGTATTCCCGGATGATCAGTGACGATATCGCTAGACACCTTGAGCGGGGGCACGATTAGTTCGCCTGTTCGCTGAGCTGGGCAATTTTTTTCCCACTTCGTCATTGTGCTAACCTTGCATCACTGGAAGTACTTCCTGAGTCCCGTGCATCTTGATATATCGTTTTAGTACATCAGACATAGTTGGAATCCGCCAGAGGCGGTGGTGGTCGCTTCAGAGCACCGATAGTGCGCTTCACTTTCATCGGATCTAGCATCTCCTTCGGAGGTGGAGGTTTCTTTGCAAAAAGTATCTCACTTGGGTAGCACAGCTTTCCTCGTTTTCCTTCTCGGTCCTCTCATATGGTAACTTTTCCGGAGCCTTGAGACTTGGACCATATTTGAATTGCTTCCTGACTCTGCTTGTACTGCTAGCCGCCGGAGCGGTAGCTTCTCTCTTCCGCCTTTGCTGACACGGCAGCGTCCGCTGACACGCTGGAGGAGGAGGCGGAGTGCTCCGACGCGTCGGAGGAGGCGGAGGAGGAGGCGGATTGCTCCGACGCGCCGGAGGAGGCGGAGTGCCCTCACGCGCCGGAGGAGACGGAGAAGGAGGCGGAGTGCCCTAATCACTCGCCGGAGGAGGAGGAGTAGGAGGAGGAGGAGGAGGCGGAGTGCCCTGACTCGCTAGAGAAGGAGGAGGTGGAGGCATCCAGTTTGGAAGCTTGATGTACTCCTTCCTCCACATACATGTACTCCTCAAAGCATAAACCAGCTGATTCTCCCCTTCACCTGTAGAGTGGTCAAGCTCCAGCTCCTCAAATCCCTCCATTATTTTATCCAACGTCAGAACAGCATAGCCATGTGCTCGAACGGCAGCGAAAAGTTCCGTCGGGTTGAGGAGGTGCAACAGAGCTGACAACCGCCTTCAAAGTCAGGTTCTGCATTTCATCATAAGCTCGCAATGTTGAGCCTCCGTGATAGTATCCACGGGGAAGCGAGGAACCATGAAATCAGGCTGAACGAGCTTCGTGGAAGCCATGCTGCTTCTCCGCTAAGATGGTGGGGTAGCTTCTGGGGTAGCCTTGTGCAGCTAAGATGGTTGGCCGGCAGCTGCAAGTTCCTCTAGCTTCGCTATTCTTGCATTGACCTTCTGCCTTTCGCTCAACTCTGCTATCCTCTTTCTCTCTTGGGTTCTAAAACCGCCGGCGCCGGTAAACCCAACCACCCACGGAACGGAGCTTGGTGCGCCTCGTGTTCATCCAGGATGCTCAGGA